TCATCCTCATCATCATCATCATCATCGTCATCATCATCATCAGCATCATCCCCCTGCTCCTCCTCCTCCTCCTTCTCATCCCCCTCCTCCTCCTCCTCCTGCTCCTCCTTCTCCTCCTCCTCCTCCTCCTGCTCCTCCTCGTCCTCCTCCTCCTCCTCCTCCTCCTCCTCCTCCTCCTCCTCCTCCTGCTCCTCCTTCTCCTCCTTCAACTTCTCCAATGGAAGGGGAGGGAGGAGGAGGAGGAGGAGGAGGAAGAGGAGGAGGAGAAAAGGGGAAGAGAGGAGAAAAGCAGAACATTAGCATGGCGATAGACCCAGTCATAACCATATGCAGATGTGAGTGCCGCAGCTGTCAGTATGGTCTTCGGCAGATTTCCCGATGGGGCCAAGGGCATGCAGAAATGCGCGGGAGGCGGCATGCGGACCGTGTCATTGAGGCCTTCGGCGGAGCTCCCTGTGGTGGGGCCACGGAACGCGTGAGGGGTGTGCCGAAACGGGCGTGACGCCCACATGCAAACACTCCCTCTGGAGACTTCGGTGGAGCTCCCTATGGGGCCACGAAACGCGTAAACGGTGTACCGAAACGGACGTGACGCCGCATGCGAACGCTCCCCCCTCTGGGACATTCGGTGGAGCTCCCTATGATGGGGCACGAAACGTCTGAGGGTGTGCGGAAACGGGCGTGACACCCACAGGCGAACGCTCCCTCTGGGGCCCTCGGTGGGGCTCACAATGGGGCCGCGAAACGTGCGAGGGATGTGCCGAAACGGGCGCGACGCCCACATACGAACGCTCCCTCTGGGGCCTTCAGTGGAGCTCCCTGTGGGGCCACGAAACGTGCCAGGGGTGTGCCGAAACGGCTTGCTCCAGGGACTCCGGTGGACCTCCCCCTGGGACCACGAAACGTGTGAGGGATGTGCCGAAACGGGCATGGCGCCCACATGCGAACACCCCCTCTGAGGCCTTCGGTGGAGCTCCCTATGGGGCCACGAAGCGTTTGAGGGATGTGCCGAAATGGCCGCGACGCCCACATGCGAACGCTCCCTATGGGGCCTTCGGTGGAGCTTCTTGTGAGGCCACGAAACGTTTGAGGGGTGTGCCGAAACGGCCGTGACACCCACAGGCGAACGCTCCCTCTGGGGCCTTCAGTGGAGATCGCAATTGGTTCAGGAAACGCGTGAGGGGTGTGCCGAAACGGGCGTGACACCCACAGGCGAACGCTCCCTCTGGGCCTTCAGTGGAGCGCCCTACGGGGCCACGAAACGTTTGAGGTGTGTGCCAAAACGGGCGTGACGCCCACAGGCGAACGCTACCTCTGTGGCCTTCGGTGGGGCTTCCTGTGGGGCCACGAAATGCGTGAGTGGTGTGCCGAAACGGCCGTGGCGCCCACAGGCGAACGCTCCCTCTGGGGCCTTCAGTGGAGCGCCCTACGGGGCCACGAAACGTTTGAGGTGTGTGCCAAAACGGGCGTGACGCCCACATGCGAACGCTACCTCTGTGGCCTTTGGTGGGGCGGGGCTTCCTGTGGGGCCACGAAACGCGTGAGTGGTGTGCCGAAACGGCCGTGGCGCCCACAGGCGAACGCTCCCTCTGGGGCCTTCGGTAGAGCTCCCCGAAACGGGCGTGACGCCCGCATGAAAACGCTCCCTCTGGGGACTTAGGTGGAGCTCCCTACGGGGACACGAAGCGCATGAGGGGTGTGCCAAAACGGGCGTGGTATGGTGGACACTCGAAGGGCAAAGGCAAGGATGAGAGGAGGCGGAGGCGGGATGGGACACGCAAGGGCACTGTCTCTTCAAAACGAGGGCCCAACACCACAGGATGGTTGGAAAAGAAAAGAAGGGAGGAGGGAGAAGGGAGGAGGAAGGAGGGAGGAGGAAAGGGGGCGGGAGGAGGGAAGAGGAAAGGGGGCGGGAGGAGGAAGGAGGAAGGACGGCGAGAGGAGGGAGGAGGGAGGAGGGAGGAGGAGGAGGGAGGAGGGAGGAGGGAGGGGAGAGGTGCTGGAGAAAGGGGAGCAGAGGAACATGGGAGAGGCAAAGAGAACAGAGGAGGGTGGGAAGGGCGGGTCATAAAAAAACGCCATGAGCAGGAATGCTTGACGCTCCGCGCGGATGTCGTGGATCCGCGCTCCGCGCGCCAGGGAGGGGGGGGTCCGGCGGAGCGCCACAAGTTTAGGTGCATGGCGCTTTTTTCTGCTTCGAGGTCAGGGGCGCCCCTCCCGCCGAGGGCCCCAGATCGGCCCCTCCGTTGCGGGCGACCGCTGCGCGCGGGGGGGGGAGGGGGGGGGGGGCGCGGTGCGCCCGCGAGGCGAGGCCAAACCCCTGCTTGGGCATGGGCGGGGCCCCCCTTGATAGGGGGGCGTCCAAGAGGGAAGCGTCCAAGAGGGGGGCTCGCAACTCGTGGCCCGGGGAGCGTCCAAGAGGGGAGCGTCCAAGAGGGAAGCGTCCAAGAGGGAAGCGTCCAAGAGGGGGAAGCGTCCAAGAGGGGGAAGCGTCCAAGAGGGAAGCGTCCAAGAGGGGGAAGCGTCCAAGAGGGGGAAGCGTCCAAGAGGGGGAAGCGTCCAAGAGGAGGAAGCGTCCAAGAGGGGGAAGCGTCCAAGAGGGGGAAGCGTCCAAGAGGGAAGCGTCCAAGAGGGAAGCGTCCAAGAGGGAAACGTCCAAGAGGGTGGACCAGGGGGGGGCAGGGAACAAATTTCAATCATCCTGGCGAAGGGCCCAACCAGATGCAGTTGTGAATACCGCAGTGTGGCCATCGATGTCGGTGGGGCTCGCTATGGGGCCGCGGAACGTGTGAGGGGTGTGCAGAACTGGGTGGGAATTGCATGCGAACTGCGCCACGGAGGCACTCAGTGGAACTCCTTATGGGGCCACGAAACGCGTGAGGGGTGTGCAGAACTGGGTGGGAACTGCATGCGAACTGCGCCACGGAGGCACTCAGTGGAACTCCTTATGGGGCCACGAAACGCGTGAGGGGTGTGCAGAACTGGGTGGGAACTGCATGCGAACTGCGCCACGGAGGCACTTAGTGGAGCTCTTCATAGGGCCACGAATCGTGTGAGGGGTGTGCCGAAACGGGCGTGACGCCCACCCACATGCGAACTTCGCCACAGAGGCACTCTTTGAAGCTCCCAATAGGGCCACGAAACGTTTGAGGCGTGTGCCGAAACGGGCGCATGCGAACTTCGACACAAAGGCACTCGGTGGAGCTCCCTCTGGGGCCACCAGACGCATGAAGGGTGTTCTGAAACGGGCGTGTCGCCCACATGCGAACTGCGCCACGGAAACACTCGGAGGAGCTCCCAATGGGGCCACGAAACGTTTGAGGGGTGTGCCGAAAGGGGCATGGCGCCAACTTGCGAATTGCGCCACGGAGGCACGCGGTGGAGTCCCCTGCGGGGCCACAAAACTGGAGTGTGCCGAAACGTGCGTGTCGCCCACATGCGAATTGCGCCACGGAGGAACTCGGTGGAGCTCCCTACGGGGCTGCGAAACGCGTCAGTGGTGTGCCGAAACGGGCGTGACACCCACGAACTGCGCCACGGGGGCCTTCGGTGGAGCTCCTTATGGGGCCACGGCACGTGTGAGGGGTGTGCCGAAACGTGAGTGACGCCCGCATTGAAACTGCGTCAGGGAGGCACTCGGTGGAGCTCCCTATTGGGCAACGCAACGATTGAGGGCTGTGCCAACATGGGCAGTGATGGTGATAATGATGGTGATGGTGATGGTGATGGTGATGGTGATGGTGATGGTGATGGTGATGGTGATGGTGATGGTGATGGTGATGGTGATGGTGATGGTGATGGTGATGGTGATGGTGATGGTGATGGTGATGGTGATGACCATGATGGTGATGACGATGATGGTGATGAGGAGGAGGATGATAACGATGATGACGACGATGATGGTGATGATGGTGAAGGTGATGATGATGATGATAATGATGATGATGATGATGATGATGATGATGGTGACGATGGTGATGATAATGATGGTGATGATGGTGATGGTGATGGTGACGGTGTTGGTGATGCTGCTGCTGCTGCTGGTGATGATGATGATGATGCTGATGATGCTGATGGTGATGAAATGTATGATGGCGGTGCTAATGATGATGATGACGGTGATGGTGATGATGGTGATGACGATGGTGGTCGTAGTGGCGGTGATGATGATGATGCTGATGGTGGTGATAAAAATGGTAGTGATGATGATGATGACGATGCTGATGATGATGGTGATGACGATGATGATGATGATGATGATGGTGATGGTTATGGAGATGGTGATGGTGATGGTGATGATGATAACGATGCTTATGATGATAGTGATGGTGGTGGTGATGATGGTGATGCCGCTACCTGCTCTCTAAGTGGCCTGGAGGCCCAGCAGCCCACCGCACTCACATACTACTCGAGCCTTGATGCAGCCACGCTGTGCCGCCCAGGCGCCATTCTACAAATCACTTTCGGATCGCCTCCACGCTCTCTTGCCTCTGGCCGCCGTCAGCCAATCTCGACCGCTTTCCATCCACTAGTACCGCACAAATTCATACTCCCACACACTCCATCATGATGATGATGATGATGGTGGTGGTGGTGATGATGCTGATGATGCTGATGATGATGATGATGATGATGATGACGATGATGATGGGAGGAGGGAGGAGGGGGGAGGAGCTGGGAGGGACGTGGGGCGCTGTCTCTCCAAAACGAAGACCCAACACCACGTGATGGCTGGGAAACACGAAGGGGGGGCCAAGAAATGAGAGGAAGAGGGTCCCAGCAATGATATCCACCCCCTAGCCATCACGACTTTCTAGCAAGAAACCACATGTGATGAAAACGACCTGGGACCAGACCCGGCGGGGGCAAGCCTGCCAAGCGGCCGCGACGCCCTCTCTAGAACCGAAAAAGAGCGACTCGGGGTGGGGGTTTTCTATCGACCTCCGACCCTTCAGGGGGGGGGGGGGGGGCCGCAATCCGGGGACGGGCCACAAACGATCCTGCTCGCGGACGGCCTTCTCCTTCTGCTCCTGCACCTCGCGGATCTCCGCGCGCACCTCCTTCGCCGCCTCCGGCATCCTCGCCAGCTGCCGCAGCTGCACCCGCGCGCCAGCCTCGCCAGGGTGGGCAGCCGGCGACGAAGGCGACAACGATCACAGCGGCAGCAACGGCGGCGACAACGGCCGACGACGGACCGACCGACCGACGACAGATCGCCGACAGACCGACCAACCCAACCTGCCGCGATCGAACGTTCGACAGACCGACCGACCGACCGACCGACAACGACGACGACGAAGACGACGACGACGACGACGACGACAACGAGGGACGACAGCACCTCGTCGAGCACGTCGATGGCCTTGTCCTGAGGAGGCTGGGGTTGTTGGCCCCTGCCGCTGGTGGTCCGGCCCTCTCTTGCACCCACCCTGTCCCAACCCCCCCTTTTTCGCCTAGGAGGAGGCGGAGAGAGAGGAGGAGAAGGAGCAGGTGAAAAAGAAAAAGCGGTCGCACAAAAGGAGGAGGGATAAGAGGAGATCCTCCTCCTCCTCCTCCTACTCCTCCTCCTCCTCCTCCTACCCCTCCTCATCCTACTCCTCTGCCTCCTCCTTCTCCTCCTCCTCTTCCTCCTCCTCCTTATCCTCCTGCTCTTCCTCCTCTTCCTTCTCCTCCTCCTACTTTTCTTAATAATAATAAGAAGAAGAAGAAGAAAAAGAATACGAATGATAATGAAAATCATACAAATACAAATACTGTTATTAATAATCATGCAAAACGAAGTAATACGAGTAGAACTAGTATTATTGCTATTAGTATGGACAATTGTATTATTAGTCGTATTAATATGTTCATCAGTATTCTCATTAGTCTCAGTATGAGTATGAGTTGTCGTAGTAGTAGTAGTAGTAGTTGATGTTGTTGTTGTAGTAGTAGTATTACTACTACTACTACTACTACTACTACTGCTACTACTACTACTACTACTACTACTACTACTACTACTACTACTACTACTACTACTACTACTACTACTACCTAACTCTACTAGTAATCACTGTTTCTGGTAGTAGAGTAGATAGTAGTAGTATAGTAGTACTAGTTATGTAGTAGTAGTAGTTGTAGTAGTAGTAGTAGTTAGTAGTATAGTAGTAGTAGTAAGTAGTAGCAGTGGTATCAGTAGTAGTAGTAGTAGTAGTAGTAGTAGTAGTAGTAGTAGTAGTAGTAGCAGTAGTAATAGTAGTAGTAGGCGTAGTCGTAGTCGTAATCGTAGTAGTAGCAGTCGTAGTAGTAGTCGTGAAAGTAGTAGTAGTAGTAGTAGTAGTAGTAGTACTAGTAGTAGTAGTAGTAGTAGTAGTAGTAGTAGTAGTAATAATAGTAGTAGTAGTAGTAGTAATCGTCGTAGTCGTACTAGTAGTAGTAGTAGCAGTAGTAGTAGTAGTAGTAGTAATAGCAGTAGTAGTAGTAGCAGCAGCAGTAGCAGTAGTAGTAGTAGTTGTTGTTGTAGTAGTTGTAGCAGTTGTAGTAGTAGTAGTAATAATAATAATAGTCGTAGTGGTAATAGCAGTCGTAGTAGTAGTAGTAGTAGTAGTAGTAGTAGTACTAGTAGTAGTAGTCGTCGTCGTAGTAGTAGTAGTAGTCGTAGTAGTAGGTAGTCGTAGTCGTAGTCGTAGTAGTAGTAGTAGTAGTAGTAGTAGTAGTAGTAGTAGTAGTAGTAGTAGTAGTAGTAGTGGTAGTGGTAGTAGTAGTAGCAGCAGCAGCAATAGTAGTCGTAGTAGTAGGAGTAGGAGTAGGAGGAGGAGGAGGAGGAGGAGGAGGAGGAGTAGCAGTAGTCGTAGTAGTAGTAGTAGCAGCAGCAGTAGTAGCAGTATTCTTCCTCCTCCTACTCCTCCTCCTCTTCCTCCTCATCCTCATCCTCCTTCTCCTCAGCGCCCCCTCCTGCTCCTCCCTGCTGAATTCTGTGCTACCCTCGAGGATGAAGGTAATAGGCTCCTGGGCGTTTTCGGGAGGCTCTGGTGCGCTTTGTGGCCCTTCTCGGGTCCTCTGGAGGCCGCTGGGACCCCTGACGTCTGGGAGTCAGGGCCCTGGGGCGCAAGCAGAACTTACAAGGCCGGCCCTCCCCGGACATCCGACGCCGCGATTTTGTTCGCAGCGTGGCTCCCAGAGAGACCCTCCCTGGGCGCACTGCGACGCCGACCCGCAGCCGCTGCCAGGTTGGTCCCCTCAGCCAGGCCGCGCCCACGCACCCGCCGCAGCCTGGCTGCGTGAGTGCGCTCCCGCGCATTTCCCCCCCCCCTCTGCGGCCGCCTTCTCTCTTCACCTCCCGCTCCTGCATGCGGGCTAATTCGCGACTCCGTGCCCCGTTTTCTCTCGGGACGCGCGTGCGAATGGCCTCTGCCGCGCTGCGACGGGAAAGGCGCCCCAGAGGTCTGGACCCCTTTCCAGAGACCCGCCTTCCACCCCGAGCCGTTTCTTGACAGCCCCCGGGCCCAGCAGTGTGCC